AACCATCAAACGAACGTTTCTCAGTTTTAGACAACTTAATTTAAATGAAGTGACAGTAAGTAGCCAGACGATAACACGGGGCGAATGTAAACATTTACTCTTAAAATATTAAAAAAAAAAAGGAAAAAAGAAAGAAATAAAAAAAAAGGTTAAAAATTTGAATAATATCCATCTATTATTTAAAAATAGTTTTTCATATATATTATAATATTTATTACGCATCACTGGGGAGAAAAATTTCATATAATTAATTCTCCATAAAAATTTATTTGAAATTTAAGTTAAAAAATAGCTATGGCAATTCACTGTAATACAATTAATAAACATAATTTGTGCTCCCACCAGGCGGCTGAGCGGTAAAGTCGCTGAACAAGTTCGGTCCGAGGTTCGAATCCCGAACGGGCTGGCTGCATGGGTTTTTCGTGGTTTTCCCCATGTGTAACGTGTATACGAGCCAGTTTCCCTTAGAAAGTCCTCCACGAAGGCATGCCTCCCCTTAGGCAGATAGCCCTCGAGGCTTTGCCATAATCACACACACATACATTTGCTTTCCACAAACATCACAGCATAGTGATTCAGAGGCCAGTAGTCCCGTGGTTCTCCTTCTTAGCAGTCATATTTGGCCTTTTTACATCATTTTTTAACTTTCGGTTCTTCAAAACTAAATCGGAAATGTATTTCATACTTTGTCGGTTCGTCATTTGGCATTTCAAATGTCTAGGAAATTTAGCATGCCTAGGAAATGTGTGAAATATGAATTGTTTCTTACACTGCCGGATATTTTTAGGCATTATATACAATGCCTAGGCATTCTGTAGAATGACGTATTTCAAACTCTGCCGGTAACATATATATTAGAAGCACACATCAAAATTGCCAGGGGCCACAAGGCCTTTCACAAATTTATCTTGAATTTGGAAATGCCTCTCTTCATTGCGTTTATCAAAATCTCTAGTGGTTCTAATGCTTGAAGCAACAAGTACTATGAGGGATTATGTACTACTATTGGTTCATTGGTTATGTCTAAAGGTGTAATGAGTTCTCGACCAAAGAAAAACTCTGCAGGAGAAAAATCTGTCAACATATGTTTTAAATTATTATAATGCAGTTTAAAGAAGGACAATCTATCTGACCATTCATTCACCTTATCAGATAAAAAAAAAAAAAACTATGCTTTCTTTCATTGTTCGATGAACTCCCTCTCCCATTAGATTGCGGATAATAAATAGAATTTTCCTTATGCTCAATATTTAGATTTTTAAAAAAATTTTGAAATTCCAGCCGAACAAAAATTTGACCCATTCTCCGATTCCCTATTTTAGGAATACCCAATTTTGAAATATATAGATTCATGCACTTTTATGACAAAACTTTTTCGACAAAAATTTTAGCAGTTTTGATATTTCTTTAACTCATTATAATAATTTTACAGTTACCAAAAAGTTTTACACAACGTATTAATATAAGTTTTAAATACAAACAAGAAAAAACGAAATGTTTTGAAGCATCTTTTATAATATAAATTTCATTTTCCTTGCTTGCACGTGACGCTGTCTTTCGTCTGTTACTTTTTAAAATTTTACATGGTCTATGTGTTAAAATTAGAAATGAAAGTTAATGACCTAAAACTGCAATCGTATAGTATAGTGCAGTGAAAAAATTGACAGTTTCACTCACGCGTGTGTCGGTTTTGCGCAATACTTACGGTGTGCCACAAAATTTTGTAAATATTATGGGGTTCTGAGGGGGTCTTCCAATTTTTTCACTTGCACTATAATATATTATTGCAGTTTTAGGTCATTACCTTTCATTTCTAATTTTAACACATAGAACAATGTGAAAATTCCCAGGGATAAAAAAGGATCGCGACTGAAAAAGGTATAAGAGAGCCTGCTCTAGGCTGTTGCCAACGGCAGGCGAAAACTTTCGCTCCTTGCCACGAGGAAATTCGTGGGCTTGGGCTGACTATAGGTCAGACAAGTGACCATTAGCAACAACAATAATTTAAATTTCGCATGGGGTAAGAAAAGGATTAACTATTTTGTTAACTTTGTAATGCATTAAATAAAAATTTTGCATTGTCCACAGTGGGCAAGTTCGTCATTACTTCCTTATACGAATTAAAGGAAGTATTGTAATCCCGAAAAATTCCGCATATCATATTTCAAAGAAAATATCTATTTTGACTGCTATCAAAGGCAATTTAACGATGTTTTTGCGTGACATCTGTACATAAATTAAAGAATAAAGGACCCTTTTTGCCTAAACGGATTGATTTAAAATGAATTTAGAAAAGTTTTTTTTTTTTTTTTTTTTTTTTTTTTTTTTTTTGTCACGTCTGTAACTACTACTTTAAAGATGTAACGGATAAATTGTATACGTACTTGTCCATCCGTTTATCAGTCAAAAAGAAAATAACATCTGTCAAGTCAAAGATTAATAAGATCCATTTATGATTAAACTGAAAGAAAGGTTGAGAAATGTTAATATTATGAGAAAAGCCACAATGAGCAACCGTATGTACACTGGTCTGCAAAAATTAGGACGAAGTCGAAAAATTAAATCATCTGAACGAAAAGCAGCGGACAGAAAGACCAAAAGGAGATAAGTAAGGTGATGTACGTAGCACATGCGCAGATATGCGGGACGTAAGGGGGAATGTCTGAGTAGTATAAAGCATGTTGTCGGTGTAAGATCAGTATTTCTGGCAAAGAGATTGCACGCCGTATAGCAGTTAAAATCACACCGAGTTGCTGTCTCAGAGAGAAATGGCGAATAATCAATCTGTTAGACGACATCTGGACTGCTTTACCGAGGTCGAATCATTAGGAAGTTAGAGGAAGGCTGCAGTGTGACAAGTGTGGCTACAAAGTTCGGAATGTCACGCATCGTTTCACGACTTTGGAGACAATTTCAAACTACAGGAACAGCTATCCGGGGTTTAGTAGTGTTCGTTCACGAGGAAAACACACCCGCAGATGACCGGTATATTGCTTACAGGTCAGAAGAAACAGGCGGCGACAGCGGGAAATCGCTAGACACACGACACAGGCGACTGGACGACCGATATCGCGTTTACCGTGGGCAAAGACTGCACGGTGGTGGTCGTTGGCACGACGCCCTGTACGGTGTGTACCTCTAACGCCTGCCCATCGAGAAGGCGTTCTCTGTGGTGCCGGGAACACCGAATTAGAGAGACAATGATGGGGACGAGTACTCTTTACAGATGAGAGCAGATTCAGTCTGAGTAGCGATTCTCATCGCATACTCTCTGAGAGAGCGGGGAGCCGCAAATCCCTCGAACATCATTGAAAGGACAGGTATGATGTGGGGTTTTTACATTCCTCCTTCTGGAGTCGTACAGACCTTCACCTCTTTCGACGCTTTTCATCAACGGGACCGTTATTGTAACGGATTCTTCTTCCATATGTGCGTCTTTTTAAGGCGCTATGGGTCCGCAGTTCCTTTTCATGGATGAAAATGCCCATGTCATCCACAGTAGCTGCCGAACAGCTCTTAGAGAGTGAGGATATTGAACGTATGGATTGGCCGGCACGATCCCGGATCTCAATCCCATCGAGCATGTATGGAATTTTCTAGGCAGAACGCTGGCAGCTCGTACTTATCACCATAACGATTCCGGAGCTTCGATTGGCACTGCAAGACGAATGGGCAGCAATGCTCAACAACTCATGACCCCTCATTCTCAGCATGGGCACACTGTGAACCTGCCTCGCATCAGGGGAGATATATCCCCTATTAAAGACGGATGTTCTTGCTGGACCCAGCACAGGGATGTTTCGGTCTTCAGTCGCATTGCGATCCATGCTACTTTTTCAATAAAACTTCTTTTTATCCCTCTACTTTCTCTTTTAGTAGTGTTGCTACATACTCATGTCCTTACGTATTGGGGATCTTACGGTATTAAATGTGTTGATTTGGAAAGCTTTTGTACAAAGTTATATTGAAAAAACCGTCTCGTCCTTAATTTTTGCACAGCAGTGTATGTAGCAAACCAGTCTGTAAGTACGTACGTATGTATGTATGTATCTCTCATAATTCAAAGAAGAGTAGCCCCAGAACGTTGAGATTTTGTATATAGGACTGCTATAAGATTTACGTGCGGCATCTCCCTTTTCGGTTGCAATCCGCCGCACCAAATATATATATATATATCCATTCTGTTACTCATGTCGGTGAGCTCCATTTTTTTTATTCTTATATATTGGTAAATTGTACGTTTTTTCCTTTAAAATGATTATAAATTATGTTATTCTTATCCTCCGGTTAACGTTTTTGCCTTTACTTAATCTGCATGCAATATTTGTAGAATTATCAACAATTCAAAAGTTGTTAAAATGCGGCTAAGCTTAATTTTTATTTACCATAGCATCCAAATTTGTTTAAATTTGAAACGTAGCATAATAATGAATTAAGTGTTTCTGCACATTCAATGTCCTTTTGCCGAGAGGTACCAAAACGAAACTTTTAGTTTCATGCACCAAAAAATTTGCCTTCTCGCCTGCTTGCCGAATTGCTTATTTTTGCGTAGAAATTCAAATTTTAATTGTAAAAATTATTTTTTTAAATTGTTTTAACTGTATTGGGTGTTTTAACTTTTTCTATACTTTTCATATTGAGGTTTTATGTATTTTTGCTATGCCGCTAAGTGCGAAATCTATCTGTAAGGAAATTTGAGAAAATAAGTTTAAATGAAATGCAGTTAAAAATGCGTACAATTTAATATTCCGTACAAGGAAGTCATGTAGTGTCCGCATCAGAATTTTTGTATTGCTATGAATGAATAAGTAGATGTTTCTATGGCAAGATGCAAAATAATTAAAAATTACTGTCGGCTATCAAATGCTTACGCATGAGCGAGGAAAGTTTTAGGGGAAGTGGAGCAAGGGTAGAACGTCCCACTGCTGTTCGTTGCTAAGCAACGAACACAAACTCAATTCATTTGCTTCGGGTACAAATGTTTCGTTCATTTGCTATTACTTAAGATCGCCTCCCAAAGGAAAACAATGAACTTTATTCCTCGTTCGGAAACATTTTGTCACAGATGAACTTCTTTGATCGCTTAATGCTGGTAAGCAAATATCTGCAGTACTTAATGAGTTTACTAATATGTGATTTTTATTTTGATACAACATGTATCGGTAGCACCGAGTGCTTAGATATGCAAACACGATGTGCCATGCGTAGCAGAAATAGGGTTGGCTTTAGTTTTCAAGTTCCACTTGGAAAAAAGTTTATTTGTCTTGTCGGACGAAAAATATTATTAAAATTTTAATAAACATTAAGGTTTCGTTTAATTGTAACAGTCTAAAGCCTTTTCATAATGATTTTTAAGTACTATCTGGCTATTTGCTTTAACTCATAAAATAGTAAAAACGATTATAGATTTAATGCACTTTTAAAATAAAAGAGCATATTTTTTAATGCAGCAAACCTATTGATTTTTTTCAGTACTTTTAATTAACAGTTCAAATTTTTATGAATATTTGAGTTTTTAATATTTTATAGATTTATAATAACATAATACAGAGAATCTAGTAACTGATTAATTCATTTTGAGTAACGGCTTATATTCTCATTCGTTAAAAAGCTGCCATTATATATATATTACATATAACACGCTCGGGCTAATTTTCTATAATTATGGGTAATAGAAAATTCGTGCTAATAGTAAATTCTATAACCATTTACTACGTTTTAAAGATATGCGTGTTTACACGCATATTCTAACGGATAAATTGTATACGTAATACTCCTATATCTTTTATATGCCTAAGAACACTACAGTTAATCAAAAGGGGACGTCTTCTGTGTTAATAAAATGCAATTTTTAAACGTAACCCGATGCTGAAACAAGATATCCCTCGTGGTATCATAGTTAGGGTTCATGGAAAAGGTTACAAGTTGTCCTATTCAATAAAAGGTTGGCTCAAAATTGTATGGAACCGTCTGCCGGCTGCTCTTCTACATAAGAAGTCACTACTAGTGTTAGAAAATTTCCGTGAGCATAGCATGGAAGATGAAAAAAATGAACAGAACAAAACATCATCCCTGTCATTATTCCAGGAGGACATATACCACATCTTCTAATAAATTTTAAAAATCTGAAAGCTTTCAGATTTCATATTACGCCCAAAAGGACTTTTTTTTTTTAACGTTTAGTGTACTATTGATTAAGTATCGTGTTCTTCGCCCTTAAAACACATAAAATTCAATTCAACAGCAATATCACAACATAATTTTAAAAGAGCATGTCTTCAGAATTCCCGATACACAGTTTCGGGTGCTGGAGATATTTTTTTTTTCTGTACAGTGTTGCCATTGCTCGCTTCGAAATCGTCGAGTTTGTTAATCAAAAATACGATAAAGCTTTAAAAAATTTGAAATTGATAATAAAAAAAATTTCAAATTCGAGCTTCCAAAAGCCCATGTTCGGTTGGAGGACGACGTTATTCAAAATTGGATGGCTATACGTACCGTTGTTTCTTCACAATGCGAGAACCGCTCGTGCAGCTTCTTCATTATTTAGTTTCTTTAAATATAATATAGGCCGATAATATTTAGTGGCAACAGCTTGAAAAGTGAATCGACGCAAAATGCAGTTTTGAAAATAGTAGCCCTTCTGGGCTAACGTCTTTTGGGCTATTAATATAATTAATTTAATAAAAACGAGTGGAAATCAGCAGGGAAGGACAATTTTACTAGAACTGGAAATATCCAAAGACGAGACATTGAACTGATTATCTCGTTGATTTTGTGTGCATGGTCTTTGACTGGTAAAGCAATACTTTTGAAGAGGTGCAAGAAGACAGAGAAATCTTAACGCTCTGATGCTACCTAATGGTATGACTACATGTGAGAAAGCTGACTTAACAGTGACGAACGCAATGACGATGGGGACGACTTGCGCGCTGTAGCAGATGATACAGGCAGTCAAATGTTATGTTGTACATGGATATGTGTGTCTGAAATATCGGGAAATGTGTTCTGACATGCAAATTTCTTTTATTAGCTTGCAGATTTCGCCAGAGGAGTAGAAGGAGGTGTCAAGAGCTAATGTTCTTATATGTTACTTATTCTTATCTGTTATCACATTGCAGATTTCTCGAAAGGAGTAGAAGACAGGTATCAACAGCTAACATTATATTATCAGTTACACTTGTGTTAAGGGGGCTCATACACTTTAAACCCTTTATGAACTTCGAATATGCGACTGTTGCAAGAATTGGGATATTTTATTTATTTTAAAAGCAATTGCTTCCAACCTTTTACAGCTGAATACATAATATAGCTGCTTTTTGGAAACTAGTAACCACAAAGTTTGTGTTGCCACAAATATTTTTGTAATTTAATCCTCTTTGTGACAAAATATTTCGCCATGTTTCCACCTTGCGCGCATGATATTTTAAAAATGGCTAATGGTACATAATTGAAATTTGAAGGAATTCTTTATATGGGCACTATTTTCTAACTGAAAAAAAATCTGATGAATGTTTTAATATAGAAAAATTTTATGGACGAAATATTATAGATTTTTTTAATAAAATCCCTTTTATAAACTCAACTCGAAATAAATAAAAATTTAACATGAATTTTTAGAATTTTAGGTTCACAGTAGTTTTCAAATGTTGTAAAAGTTATATATTAAATATGGAATTAAATTATGCAACAGATTGTTTTAAACTGTGCACGCAAGGTGGAAACATGACGAAAAAGTTTGTCACAAAGCGGATTAAATTATAAAAATATTTGTGGCAACACAAACTTTCTGATTACAATTTCAGAAAGTAGCTATATTATGTAGTCAGCTGTAAAACGTTGGAAGTAATTGCATTTAAAATAAATAAGTTATCCCCAATCTTGCAACAGTCACATATTCGAAGATCTTGCGGATTTTAAGGTGTATGAGTCCCCTTAACATTCTTATTTAACTATATTTTTGAAACCTGCTTTCTAACAAAAACTCACGTAAACAAATGTAAAATAAGGTTTCTGAATTGATGCAAATACCAATTTTTTATTGCCAAATTCCATATTTAAGATTTTAATTTTTTTTAATCAATTTTATTTTAGGTCAGAGAATTAACTCGTCTCTTCTTTCCAAACAACTGATGAATCTCAAGACAAAAATTATGCCTTAAGATGAGAAATATTTTACCTATTGTTATTTTGTGCTCTTCTGCAGTTTTTCTAATCTTCAACTGGTACTGGATGTCCAAATATTTTCGTAATACTTGGAAAAATGGTAAGAGTACGACTTTAAAATATGCTACAGTTCGCTTAAACCATGTCAACATTTTAAATTTGAATGTCCGGGCTTTCTCACTTCATTTGGATGCAAATATTCTTATTATTTTCAAAGCTGTTGTACGTCTGTAGCACACATGTACGAGGTGTGATACAAAAAAAAAGAGAGTGTGTAGCTTGAAAACAGAGTGGAGTTGGCAACAACTGTTTGGGTGACATCATGCCACAAACCTCCTCTATCCATGCAGCCAGTTTCGACTTAACCAACCACGCCAGAGGGAAGCATCCTCCTAATTCACCTGATTTGGTTCCATGCGACTTTTTTATTTCCTAAGTTAAATCTTATCTTCTTACAGGGAACCCATTTTACTTTAGCTGAAGAGGTACAGGCAAAACCTTCAGCTGAAGAGGTCTGCATATCATATATTCATCAGTATCGAAGAAGATATATGCATATTCACAATACTAGCAAGTTAAAAGCAATTGGCGAAATAATCTAGAAATTTAATTTTTAATATCCATTGTCGAGTTTTTATAGTTTAATATTTTATTAACATTGAATAAATATTTAAATCGAATCTGCCAGTGAGTTACCAATTCAGAAATACAGCTAAAGCTTGCATTTAATAATTTCTTAAATTTTTTATGCAATCACTCCATAATACTCAATAGGAATTTGGCTTATTTATTTAATTTAGTGCAAATTACTGTTGAATGCTATATTTATTATCTTTGTACTCATAATTATTTAGTTTCATGAAAATTCAAAATACAAATTGGAATCCTTTTTTTCGAAGTACGAAATGTGGAAAGAACTATTAATTATAAATTTGCACTACTCTCTGCTTAAAGCTTTTTGTGAGAAGCGCCTTTTCAGGGTTTCATTGGAATTTGTTAACTGCCATGATCCTCATTTTAGGATTTATCTGTAGCATCGGAAATACGATAATTAGGCAACAACGGTTACCTTTTTGCCTTGCTGTTTAAACTTTTAGAATTATCTTCGATATCGAAGCTGACGAAACCTACAAATCTCTTCGCTCGTTAAAGGAAGAGGGAGAGGAAATGGTTGTGGATCTAAGATAGAATTTAAGGCGTATTCTTTTAAATAGTTTACTCTAGTAACCTAGAATGACAACCACATTATAAGCATAGACAATTTAAAATTTAAAAGCCTAATATATTTTAAAAATTTGTTTAATAAATGTCTAAAATACAGAAACCTGTGAATGAAAGTAAAATTCTTACAATGAGGAAATAGATTTGTACAAACCCCTTTCGTTAACTTTTCTTTACCTCTTTCCAAGAATTTTTGTTGAGGAGGCAGAAACACAAGGAATCATCGTAAACTGTTACTTTAAAAATAGTGTTCCTTCATCTGGCGCCTTTGTTTGGGATACAGCTTGGCCTCTCTTATCCACGAATTAACTCTTTAAGAAATAAATTAAAAGAAAAACATGTCTGCGAACATTTATCGAAAAACGTCCTTCGTCGAAAATAATGGAAAACAATTGCAAAATTTGCTCCCTAATCAAGCTGCGTCTGTGGAAAACGCTTATACGCCCTAGTTACGGTGTAGAGCCAGTAGGTTATTTTCGATGTCAGGAAGCTGAAAAATGAGTAATGCGCTATCCGGAACTCCAACGCTGGACTCTCAAATACGTGCCGAGTGTGCTAACCGTTACACCACGAAGGCATGCTGGGAAGAGGGAGAAAATACCTTATACACTCCCGCTTTTAAAGGGCGACTGGGAAATAGGGAAGCCAATCACCACATCCTGGTGATGAAAAATCCTCATCCAGCACTATTCTAGTTCGGGCGCCCTGTGGAGTTATTAGGTTATTTTCGATGCCAGGAAGCTGAAAATTCAACAGTGCCCTCACTGACACTCGAACCTGAACTTCTCGAATATACGCCGAGTGTGCTAACTAGTACACCACGGAGGCATGCTGGAAAGAGGGAGAAAATACTTTATATACCCCCTTTTTAAAGGGCGACTGGAGATCAGGGCACCCAGTCGCCAAATTCTGGTGGTGAAGAACCATCATTCACCACCTTTTTAGTTCGTGCGTCAATGTAGAGTCATTAGGTAATTTTTGATATCAGAAAGCTGAAAAAAGAAAAATATCCTCGCCGGAACCCGAGCCCTAGACCTCTGGAATACGCGCCGAGTGTGCTAACCATTACTCCACAAAGGCATGCTGGAAAGAGGGATAAAATACCTTATAACGGGGGTGCTGGTTAGTGCGAAACTTTCTCTAAAAGAGAAAATAGCATAATAGTATGCAGATAATAAAAATAATTCTGATTATGTTCATTCTTATGTTTTTAACAGGAGGAGTATTTTCATCTGTTGAGGACTGCAGATCTGCTCGTCGGCACGATGTTTTTATGTGTGAAAAATGCAAATCGAAAGAAAACAAGGTATTTCTTTTATTGTTTTAGTTATTCGTTTAATATAATTTTATTATAAATATTTTCCTTTGTCAACGTTTTGAAATATTTCTTCCAGCAAATGAATGATTAATAATATATTTGTAAATTATTTAGTTTAATAAACCCATTATTACGAAGGTTGCTATTTATATTTCTGGCCTTAGCAACAGTATGTGTTGCTAGGAGACCGCAGACGATTCCAGTCGAAAGTTTGATATCTTTAACCATAATCTCTTCAGAACGTTATGCCATTTAAGTGTGATGTAAATTTTTCAGTTTACCGTAAACAACACAATGTTGTTTACGGTAAACTGAAAAATTCATTTCCGGCAAAAAATGGATTGACTCGTGAACATTTTTGTACGATTATTTTTCATAACTTTCGACGTGGATTAGCGAAACAAGAGTGCTTCGATGAACTTAATTCTTCATACAGCGATAAAGCACTATCCTACCAGCACTATAAAAAACTGGTATAACAAATTCAATCGTGGTCGACGCTTGCTTCAGGACGAATTCCGTAAAGGTCGTCCAAAATCGGTTGTTGTACTAGAAATATAGATGCTGTGAGTGAACTGATAAAGCCAGATCGTCATGACATACCGTGAGATTGAGGCACCTTTGGGCATTAGTATGAGAAGCATCAATAAAATGTTATGTGAACATTTGGGCCGTCAAAATGATTTGTTCGGTCTGATCCCGCATAATCTGACAAACGCTCAAGAGAAGGCTCGTGTCGATTAATGCAAGGAAAGGTTGGGAAAATGCTTTCAAGGTGCATCAAAGGCACCTTGAAAGTATATATATCTATATATATCTAAACAGGGGACGAATCATGGATCTATGCATATTAGCCCGAAACAAAACAAAACAAAAAAAAAAAAAACATCCGACTGTATGGATGGGTCTTTCAAGAGGAGACATATACAACAAAAGTTGTTCGCGGAAGAACCACATCGAAGCAAATGGTTGCTTGTTTCTTCGGCATTACCGGTCACGTTGCGACAGTTAGAACAATTAGAACAACGCAGGACAGTCGATTCCGAATGGTACACTACCATTTGTTTGCCAGAAGTCCGGAGAATTTCGGAAAAAAATAAAACGGGAGAAGAGGCGAATTATGACTATGCGACCTCACTTATCGGTTCAAACAAAGGAATATTTGACTGGCCAAGACATTCAGTTGATGGGTCATTCGCCGTACAGCCCTTATTTGGCACTCAGTTGACTATTTTTATTCCCGCACATCAAAATAAAAACCGTTGCCAGCGTTCTGCGACGCCCGAAGAAGCGGTTGATGCATTCAAAACGCATGTTTTGGAGTTACTTAATCGGAGTGAAAAACGTGCTTCGAAAATTGATTCAAACGCATACAAAAGCGTATTAATCTTCATGGAGAATATTTTGAAAACCAATAAAACCAATTTCGATCATAAACATTTTTTTTTTTTTTAATATCAGGCCAGAAAGCTAAATAGCAACGTATATGATTTTTAATTACACTATTATTTCTGTTTTCTGTTAGTTCTCTCCAGTATGTAAATCAGATACATGTACCTAAGAATTGAGTTCTTGAAATTTAATGGGAGACCTTTGGCAGCGGCACCGAATGTAGTCATATTTATTTCCTAGCCCACTTCTGAGATTTATATTATCTGGCGTTAGCCCTTTTGATAGTCGAATCACTTACGCATTTAACTAAAATAAAGTCCAACGTTTTGCTCTGTAAATCTCAAACATCAATTTTACTTTGAATTATAAATGGCATTATATGTTATCTGAAATCCTGCAAGTAGTGCAAACTTGTGTTGTAAACACAGTTCATGCATCTATTCAAAGTGTTATGATTCTGTTGTTATTTCCATAGGCAGGACGATAAGTCGCGCGACAGTCTGAGTAGGGATCAAGTTACATTAATTATGGAGTAATTAATATTACACATTTAGAGCCCAAAATTAGACTTTCCCGGTCATTGGCAAATTTGTGGTCCATTCTGTAATTTTTTATGATTAAAATTTAACAAAAATGGGAAAATAAATCCGTTGCAATTATACAATAAAAATATTAAAAGAATTCATAACTAAAAAGTGTACTACAAATTTTGCAGGACAAAACTTATTTTATTAGCCTAAAGGCTATTAATTTCGTTTTGGCATTTTGCTTCGAAAACTTTAAATTCTGAATTTTTTTTAAATTATTGCCAAGAAGCCTGTATTAATAAAATTAATTTGTCTGTATTAATAAAATTAAATAATGAAGAATCTGCATAAATGTTTCCACATTGTGATAAAACAACGGTGCAGATTTTTTCTTTCAGATTTTTTTTTAGTAATTAGTTAAATTGTTTTGAATAGAAGAAACAGGCGTGGATCTTTTTACTAAAAAAATTTGGTTTGAATAGAAGAAAATGTACCTCGAATTAAAAAAAAAAAAAAAAAAAAAAAAAAAAAAAAGCAGCAGACTTGATTGTTGGCCGAAATATAATTTTTGGGTATTCCCTGTATTTTTCTGCTAATAGGTTACAGAGCTATTTAAAAGTAATGGACGAAACGGTTTTTTATTTTTCTAAGAATTTAAAGGGGGATGAAGTGAAATATTTTCTCTCCTACTAGTTTGCAATTATATAATGAAAAAAAAGGGAATTTTTAGCATTCGACATAATGTTTTCGCCGATCGCACAAGTTTAGAATGATTTCTGCCATGCTTATTTTTTTCACTTATTGTCAACTCGGATTTCCTAAAGAAAAGCACGCTCACATATCTACTTTTTGATTGGTCATATGATTAGAAATGTGAAAATATCTATCAGTTCCTTTATTTTTTTTTTCAGTGGTGCCATTTTGTTATAATTCGTTCTCATTTCGAGGCAAGAATTTCATACGAATGTTTCGTATTGCGTACAGAATGCCAGTGAACGCAAATATCTGGCAGTGAACGCAACTGAACAAAAATAAATCTCATCGAAACTATTATATCACATTTTCTTTAATTGGAAGTTGTGGTGTTGCGTGGCCCCAACTTGCTCGCAACAGTAGTAATGACTGCTATGAACTGGAAATTACACAAACTCTTAAGAAGGGTCTAACTCCCTTTTTATTCCACTTTAGAAGTTACAGATGCGTTCACTTGACGCTCACAAACTACGCCGACCCGGCGTTAAATAAAAATAGAAAAGTAAACTAAAAAATAATAACAGGATGACTAATACGAGGTCACTACCTACGAGGCTCTATAAACGTACTAAATTAACCGCGTTCTAAGATACAGCTGAGATTTCAGCAAACTTCTGAATATTAAGTTGAAAGATTCAATAACTGCCGAAAGGCACAACAAACGCGCGGTTCTTTAATTTCTAACCTAGCACTCCGCTCGTGAATCAAGAAAGCACACCTACAAACTCGTTTCCCTCTATTAACTATCAAATTACTTCGCTGAAAATTTGAATATCTGCGCGTTCTACTAAAATTTACATACTCTGGCATTGGCAATTCCAGGGGAAAGTAAAGGTTTGACAGGAAAGATAGCTTAAAATAAAAGTTAGTTAAAATAAATATAAACCCTACAAAGTTCATAAATTTAATTGAAAGTTCCTGAGCAGAATTTTTGGGTGTACAAAATTTGAAAACTAACAAATTTTAGTGACTTTTCATTTTATGTAGAAAGCCTATATAGGTAGCGGACGGTGAGCAAAAATTTGCAGCTTTTGAGCAGAGTTCAGTTAAGAATCACAAAGAAAAAGCAAAATTTATAAAAAATAAACCCTGGCTAATTAAATTATAGAATTTTATGCGTTTTGCATATTATAGCGTATAATTTCAGTAATAATGGCAAAATTAAGATTTTTTTCATCATTTTGAGTTTAACAAATTACAATTTAGAATTTGAAAAAAGTAAACATTATTATTTTCCTTTTTTTATATAAAAAATCCTTTTACTTTTACCCAACATTAAAAAAATCTGATGCGGACACCATATGACTTCCTTGTCACGGAATATTAAATTATACGCATTTTTGCTACATTTCATTTAAACTTATTTCTTCGAAATTCATTAGAGATATATTTCTCAGTTCGCGGCAAGGCAAAAATACATGAAACCATGAAATATTTTCAGTAAAAATTGACAAAATAGAGAAAACCATAAAACACCAAACATAGATAAAACAATTAGAAAAACAATTTTTACAATTAAAATTAGAGTTTCTACGTAAAAGCAAGCAATTCGCCAGCAGGCAAGAAGGCAGATTTTTCGATGCACGAAACTGAAAGTTTACTTTTAGTCTCACTCGGCAAAAAGATGGTGCACAAACTGACCTAATTCACTGTAATAAACAAACATTAGCCTAAGCCGAACTCTAATAACTTTTAAATTGTTCATAATTCTACAACTATTGCATGCAGATTAACCTAAGACATAAAAACATTAACCGAAAGTTAAGAATAACATACTTCAATCATTTTTATAAGCAAAAATTGCACAATTTACCAACATATGAGAATATAATTTATATGAGAATAAAAAAACTGAGCTCACGGAGCTGAGTAACAAAGTGGGTACATAGATGTATATAAATGTATAATAAACCAAAAAAACATAATAATTTATAATAAGAAAACTTTCCATATACCATCTCCAAAGAACACAAAGTTAAATACTTGCTTTTACTTTAATTTTAAGCATTGTATCATTTTTAACTTTTTATGATTTTGAATTACCATTTTATGTTCTAAAATATACTTTTGTTTTTGAGATTGAAATTGAGAGTGTAGGGGTATGACTTCTAAACTAAGCATCCCATTCAAGTTTAATTGCGTTCTTACTGAGAAACTTTAATTTAAAGATTATTTGCCATTTATTTTGTTTAACAGGATTTTTTGGGTTTAAATGGACTAATATCTTTATTTGGATTGAGAATTAATTGTGACTTCTGATTGGGATCTAGCAAATAATTTCATGCTTACTCAGAAGTAAGATGAAACACTCTTGCTTAATTTAGTTGTTGTTAACTGATGGTACATTGGCTTATCCCCTTAGTAAGTCTATTAATCGCCAGTCAATGACAATACCTACTTTTTCAATACTTAAAATGTTTACTTTTGGTTTTGGTATTTTTGCGATTAAGATTTCTCTTAGCAGACTTTTTTAAACAAGTAGATATTATAATATTAATTAAAAAAATTAATTAAAATTCTGACAATTTTTTTTTCATTCGTGGTTTTTAAATTGAATTTGTGTTCCTTGGAGAAGGTGTATAGAAAGTTTTTAATTGACATTTAATTACTTTTATTTTAAAAATATATACACACACACATATATATATATATATACTTTTGGTGCAACTGATTGCAACCAAAAACGGAGGTGCACAACTACATGTTATAGCAGTCCTATGTGCAAAATTTGAAAGTTTTGAGGCTACTCGTTTTTGAGTTGTGCGAAATACTTATATACGTACAGACGTCACGAAAATATTGTCTTCTGAATCCATTTTAAATCATTTTTATAATCCGTTTGGGAAAAAGAGTCCTTTATTCTGTCCTTACGTAGAGATGTCAAGCAAAAACATCGTTAAATTGCATTCTAGGGGTCTAAATGGATATTTTCGTTGAAATAGGATACTCGGAATTTTTCGTGATTACAACACTTCTTTTACTTCGTACAAGGAAGTAAAAGTTTAACGCTGCGGAAAATTGTACTTATAAACATATTTGAATAGAATATACCTATTTTGCAATTTTTTCCCCTAACAGAGCGGGATATTTATCTCAGACAAAGAATTTAGCCCTTCCAATACCAGTTAAATCTCTTTGAGATATATAAACTTTAATTAATCCAATTAGGTATCAGTCATTGATACGCTAAAACCAAAATAATTATTTAATAATAAAGTTTATGATGATAATAATTTTCAGAACAGAATGGGAAATGTCATTTCTACATTTTCTCTTACAGGGATGATCATGCATACTTTAAATCTTATTATCATTATTGTATTATGATTATTATGATTATCATGTTTGAAATTAAGACCAGGATAATTATGATAATTATTGATTCTTCAGGATTCTGATAATCATTGATTATCCTGATTGAACAGGATCATATATTATCATGATTGAACTTAAGATCTTGTGATTCCGGTTGAAATTTTAATTATCGATTTAAACCAGATTTACAAAAAGAATTAATTTCATTTTCAATATATTTTAGGTTTTAATTAACAAGACAGATGTGCCAGAACTACTCGGAGATGTGTGTTTAAAGCGTGCTCATTTGTATGGTACGTTACCAAGAAATGAAAAATTTTTGACAATAGCGATTCCAACAGTTCTAAGGAGAAAAGAAAATTATCTTCGCACAACATTAGAATCCTTATTAAAGAATATGGATGCTGAAGAACATGAATTAGTTATCATACTGGTACTCTTTGCAGACAGCGATGCACAGCTACGAACAAAACGAGCCAAAGAAACTGCTCTTCAGTTTTCGGACTCGGTAGGTTCTGGTTTACTACTTTTGGTTCAACTTTTACCCGAATATTACCCCGAAAGTAAAATAACACGACGGACGTTTAATGATTCTATGGACAGAATTAAATGGAGATCAAAACAGGTCTTAGATTTTGCCTTTCTCCTTAACTGCTCCCAGAACTTATCGAAATACTTCCTGATTTTGGAAGACGATATTATTGCTACAAAGGATTACGTGTCTGCTATACAGAAATTCGTTAATTCGAAATCCAACAATGATTGGGTATCTTTGACGTTTTCTGGATTTTACATCATAGGAAGGCTTTTCAGAACCGAAGACTTAAAGAAACTTAGTAATTTTTTACTCATGTTTCATTTAGAAAAACCTGTCGATCTACTGATTATGCAATATTTAGATCTTTTGGTGCCAAGCACCGAATACGTTACGCGTAGAATACCTGGACTGTTCCAACATATAGGACTCTTTTCGTCACTTGATGGAAAAGTTCAAAAGGCAAAAGACAGAAGTTTCTCGTCCAGCCCTCGGGTATTTAATTTTGAAAATCCTCCAGCGGACGTTGTAACCACTTTGAAAGTCTACAAAAAGCATTATCCAGAATCCTGTTACTATCCTTCCAATAAATTCTTCTGGGGTAGCGCTCCCAAAGTCAATGATACTTTTGATGTCATTCTCCGTAAATCTACGAAAATCAAAAGAATATTTATAAATTCCGGGCACAAGTCACATCCAGAAGACGTAATTAAATATGCCGAGCTGCAAATTTCTCCTTATTACGAGAATATGATCACAGATAGAAAAGCACATTGTAAAGAATTTCGTGCAGTAGCTGTGTTTGAGAAAGGCAAAGTAGACGTCTCGTCCAATTTTACATCAAGACTGGAACAGGTACAATGCTTGAGAATTGAATTTACAAAGAAACAGACAAACTGGATAATTATAAATGAAATTTCCATTGACGCTGACAATCCTTTCGAAAATCATTGACCAGAAACCTTATAAGAAATTTCAGTAGATATTTAAGAGGGTTTTCTAGCTTCCAATATCCGATCTTATAGTTTTGTGAGTTTTTAATTTTAAACAATGAAATTTTATTTTATCTTGATCAGTACACGATTCTAATTCTCTTTAAATCAAACAATATATATTGTTGTACATCACTTGTAAACATTAACATTTTTATATCGAAAGCATCCCAAGAACTTCCTCGGAATATCGTGAGGATGTTGCTCATGGGATAAGTACACATCCTTTAGGATATCCCGGAGTATCGACGTAACCATCGACACACATCCTACCAAGTGCTTAATATCACATACCAGTATATCCTCAGTACATCCTGACTAGGTCCTATCGATAGCACACGGGATGTTATCGGGTTTGAAGTTCTACTTACTACATCCTCAGGACATCCCAAAATATCTCCCTAACCTGCTAAATACATTTTCCTGAGTGTTTAGTATCACATTCCAGTATATCCTCAGGACATCCTGACTAGATCCCATAGATAGCGCACGGGGTGTTATCAGATTTGAAGTCTTATTAATGCATCCTCGAGAAATCCCAGTACATCCCAGTTTCCTCCTAAACACGTTCTTCCAAATTAGTAACTTCACATCCCAAAATATCCCTAATACATCCTCACTGGCTAGTGTCATATCCAGGGCGTCAAAGGGCCATGAGCAACCCCCTTTTTTGTATACACATTTATAAAAAATAAAGATGACATTATTTTGCTAATATTCTTATTGAAGAAAGTTTGTTTTGATTTCCTTCCGTATTCTTTCTTATCCAAAGAGATCACACATGCCTGTTCTGTTAATGCTTATGCCTATCATTCACTAAATGTGGATGAAGATAAGATGTAGTTCTCAAGCTAGTGAATCTCAGAAGATGGTTGAATGTGTGAAAGAAAGTTACTATTCACATTTGTGAAAAGAAATCCCCAAGAAAGTAATGGGGTGTGCCAATTTCATTCGCGAAGTCCCATCCAAATTTAAACTACACTCACTTCCAAAAGTTAAGCACGGAGAGGAAAATGCTAATTTCCGGAAGTCAATCAGAATTGAAGAGGATGCAATTCGCTTCAGAGGTAGACGGAAGTATGCAAATATGTTAGGTACCAGCCATTCGCGCTTTCATGTCAAGAAATATGCAAAAAAAAGGCAGTCTTATAAGAAGCCAGCTTTATGAAGGGTTACAGAAGTTGATTGTAAGTGCTGATAGAAGGTGTTGTACAATTTGTTTTAAAGACATACGTGTTTCTATGACTTCCAGAAGACGAATGGAAGATTCTGAGCGCTGGCGTGCTGTGGGGCGCATTGAAGCAGGACAGTCGATCACAGATGTTGCTCTTTTCTTCGGCGTATATCATTCTGTAATTTCACATTTATAGAAAGAATTCCAAACCACACAGACAGTTGTCCGAAGGCCTGTAGCCGGTCGCCCAAGGGTTACAACCCCCGCGGAAGATTTTGCTATTGTAGCCAAGTGGAATCGCAGAGTGACCTCCACACGTGTGACATCTATGGCTACAGCATCGATTTGGTTAAGGCAATATCTGCAGCTACTGTACGCCTGAAGATTACATATGAGTGGACTGTATGCCCGGAGTACCTGGAGTTTGTGTTCCTCTATCCACCCAATCAAGAGGGAGCACGATTACAGTGATGCTGGGAACATGTCAATTGGAATGTGTCTGACTAGGGCAATGTCATGTTTACTGATGAGTCAAGATTTGCTCTGGAGCCAGATGACAAGCGTATAAGGATATTGCGTGAACAACTAACACGCAATCAATCCCAAAACATCACCGAACATCACGCATTCCGAGGCGGAGGCATTATTGTGTGGGCAGGGATTTTATTAGGATACCGTACCGGCCTGCACATCTTTAAACGGGGTTCTTTGACGGCTGTCCGGTATCGAGACGAAGTCCTAGAACCCATTGTGAGATTGTACGCTGCAGCAGTTGGGCCTACTTTTGTTTTAATGGACGATAACGCATGTTCCCATAGAGCTGACATCGTCGATGACTACCTGTAGAGTGAATTGATTGCGCGTATGGTATGGCCACCATATTCGCCCGACCTTAATCCCATTGAAAATCTTTGGAATGATCTCCGGCGTGCTATATCTTCACGTTTCCTACCTCCAGCCACTCTTATTGAGCTGGAAACTGCTCTACAAGAAGAATGGCGATTGCTTAATTCTGAGGTGGTTGAGCACCTAATTGAAAACATGGTCACTTTGTATTCAGATAAGGGGGGATCACATACCCTATTAATGTCCTTTTTTTATTTTATTCTGTTTATTTTCACTTTATACATAATTCTGTTTAAGTCTCCAGTATGTCATTATCTGATAACTTACAAAAATTTAATATTGTTTTCATTTCTGTATATAATTATTGATTTTGTTTTATGCATAAATATATATCCTACTTTCCTGTTGAACTGTGTGTCAATCAAAGCAGTATTTGTTGATTTTTTTGCATTTTACATCTTCGTGCTTAACGTTTGGAAGTGAGTGTATGTTGAAAGACAACAGACAGTCAACTAGGGTCCTGCGGATAATTTCTGAGCGAGCCTCAAGCTCCACATCAGGTCTCGTTTACCAAAATAGGCCTTAAAAAGAAAAAATTAAGAAAGAGATGCTTGAGTTCCTTTAGAAACCCAAGCCCCATTGCTTGAGCAATGCTTTCTTTTCTCTCTTCCCATGTGCTGCTGAAAGAGAAATGCGACTAAAGTATGCTTACTGAAACGGTGTTCATTAATTCTTTAGCTTTCCTTCCTCACATTCGTTTTACAATCTCTTTTAATATCAGGTGGTAGTGTTGCTAAAACAAGAGAATTAATTTCACATTTTCTGCAGACTTAAGACTCAGACTGCAGATTCTGTAGAATTAGACTATTCTTAACTTGTAAAGTTAGTGAAGAGTAACATGATTCAATAAAATTAATTAGTATTTATCTTATCATCGAGTAATTCAGATAAAGAGTGACATAGTGAAGAAATCCCTATTGATCCACTAATTTCAAAATGAGTAAAAAAGAACAACATTCCTTCTTAAATTCTATTAATAGCTGTCATAAAGTTGAATTTAAAAGTCTGATGTGAACACCTCATGACTTCCTTGTATGGCCTATTAAATTATACACATTTTATGCTGCATTATATTTAAATTTATTTCTTCGAATTTCATTAGAAATATTTTTCTTATTCAATTAATTCAGTTCTCATACTGCGGCAAGGCAAAAATACATAAAAACTCAAAATTGTGCAATGTAGAAAAACGTAAAACACCAAACACAGTTAAAACATTAATTATTTCTTTAACAATTAAAATTAGAGTTTCTAAGCAAAGACAAGCAATTCACCCAGCGGGAAAGATGGCCGGTTTTTCGGTGCACAAAACTGAAAGCTTACTTTTGGTCTCATTCGGCAAAAAGATACAGAAGGTACAGAAACTGACTTTTCTACTGAATTTCAAATGTAAACAAATGATGGTTCGTTAGGCTTAACTCGACACTTAAATTTTTAAATTGTTGATAATTCTACAACTATTGTGGCGTCGCTGACTGCCGTGCCGAAGGGCCCGGGTTCGAATCCCGAGAAAGGTATGTATGTTTGTAAATGTGTAGTGTCCGTGCGACACTGGGGCCCCCTAAACATGTGGCGAACCGAAAGTCCTCTCAAGAGGTTGTGGTAGTCGTGGGAGACCCTCGGACACGTCCCGCCGGGGTGCTAACTAGCACTGTCACCTGCATCGTGTTCAAGACTGTTGCCAATGATAGGCGTGCACTTACGCTCCTTGCCACGAGGAATTTCGTGGACTTGGGCTGACTATAGGTCAGACAAGTGAGCATTAGTAACAACAAAAACAACAACAACTATTGCGTGCAGATTAAATAAAAGCATAAAAACCTTGACCGGAAGATAAGAATAACATAATTCAGTCACATTTAAAGCAAAAAAATGCACAATTTACTAACTTCTAGGATAAAATACTAAGCTCACGGAGCCAGGTAAAAGAGTTGGAAAATATCTATATAAGACTAGCGTAGCCTATTGCAACGAAAACGGGAGGTGCACACCTACATGTTATAGCAGTCTCACGTGCAAAATTTTAACGTTGTATGGTTACTCGATCTTGAGTTTATGCGAGGTGCGTACATATTTACGTGCGTACAGACGTCAAGAAAAAAATATCTTCTGAATCAAGTTTAAGCCCATTTACAATCGTTTTGGGCAAAAACAGTTCTTTATTCTGTCCGTAAATACTGATGTCACGCAAAAACATCGTTCAAATAATTTCGAGAGTGGTCGAAATGAGTATTTTCGTTGATATATGACAACCGGAATTTTTCGTGATTACAATAACTCTCTTACTTCGTACAAGGAAATTTAAAAAAAAAAAAAAGTATCAAATACTAACAGATGAAAGCTGAGACTCAGCAGCAAACAATGTGAAACTCAATCACTAAGTTCTACTTCTACAGATACATTTGATTCTAATTCAGAAATCTATAAGAACACTTTAGCTGCAATTAAAACCCGTCTTCAAGATGAAAAATCGGCATACTAATTTTCGTAAATTGGGAATTAACTGATGAAGAAAAACTTGAATGTTTTAAAAATACTTCGGATCCAATAGCAACGTACGTGTTTCCAAGCTCATCATTTGGCGATGTAAGTTTAAATAGAATTGTTAATTATATGCTATTTATTTCAACACCCAAGACTGGATTTTTATAAAATTAAAGATGGATCATGTGGTAAATATTCCATAATATTTGCCAAGGAATGTGCATACCAATCAGACAATAAAGATTTGATGACAATTAGTGAATGAGTCTTTTCGCTACTAGAGGAATACTAACGAAAGTTTCCTGTATAAAAGCATTTCTTACTATCTGCTGATAATTTTTAAAAATATTGTTGTTGATCATAAACAATCCACTGTTAATGCGAATTATGTCGCCAACGTTCATCAAGTTAAAGGTAATGGAAGAATGTTACGCTTTTATACAAACAGTGACCTTCTGCGAGAGAAATGGATCTCCATTAAGAGGCCGTCTTCATTTTGGGAAAACGAAAGTAAATTATGCTAATGTAGAATCTCATAAAGACGCAGGAAAATTTTCTAATCCTCAGATTTCAAGTAGATGCAGGAGAAGACGTATAAAAATCATTTAGAATCCTGCAGCAAAACCAATGCATATTTTAACAGAAATCATAAGTACTTGCAATAAAATTATTTTCGGAAGGTTGTTGTAAGGGGTGAAGTCCCAGGCCATCCCGGGCGAAACAAGTTCAGCCATCAAGCCATAACAGGAGCCAATTTCAAAAAGGTTGAAAAATCTAATGCAAGCAAATTCTTCTCCATTATAACTGATGAAACTACAGACATTTCTTCTCAAGGATAAAGCATCTTGCGGCGGACCACACAGAGATAAGAAAATCATGAGTGCGGTTTCCGCAAGTCACTGTTTTCAAGCTTTTACGATGTGTCACACGAAATGGTCTGACATCGCAAACGCAATAATTCGTTCCCGTTCACAGTACAAGAGACATAACCTCGCGACCAATGTCAAGAGATTTTAGCATTCTGCATTGTGTCTGTCATCAAAGCCTCTCGATTTCAGGAGGACTGACGAACCAATGATCTTGTTTCTCCTCTGATATCGTTCCAGATACAACGAATCAGAGGATGCAAAATACAACTGAAAAAATAAGGAGGCGTGGCTAGTTTAGTCTGTAGATTTTTTCCAACCGAACAGTATGCTCTTGAACTCTCGAATAGAGGAACAGAGACACCCTCGTTAACAGGATCCTTACG